CCCCGGGCTTCCCCCCCCCCCCCCCCCCAGCCGAGCCCGGGGTGACTAGGAAGCGGACCAGCCGCTGCTGGGACCCTGCATGCGGCCCGCGCCAGGCCCCGGGGCACGGGCTGCAGGGGACTGAGCCCGCGGGGGAGGCGATCGCTGCTCCGGCCGGGGCCCCTGAGGGCCTGGGGAATCGTCCCGCTGCTGCGGCCGGCGCTGAAGGCCCTGGGGGTGCAAAGGCAGCGGCACGAGCTGGCGGGTTTGGGGCGCAGGCGGGCGGAGCGGGCGCCGCAGGAGCCAGACGATCAGCGACAGCAGCCGCCGGAGGACCTGGGGCGCACCGTCTGCACCGGGGCATTGATGCATCAGGTAAAGCTCCGTCAGGAGGTGGTGCCGGGGGAGTCTCCGGCGTGATCTGGTCCCGGTGGGGGACGGCGGCAGCAGAGCAACGTGGCTTCCCCCACGTCGGTGGAGGAGGTGTGTGTTTGGGGATGGTTTTGCCCCACGGGGCTTGGCAAACGTGCAGCTCGTCCGGCCTCGTCTGCGTCTGTGGTTCCGGGAGCCTGGAGAGCCGCAGGTCACCTCCGGGAGTCCCGGGACTGACCACCCGGGGAGAACAGGCTGCCGGTGAGGAGAGCGCTGGCTTGCTCAGTGTCCCGGTGAAGGAAGGGGCCGCGCGCGGCGCGCCAAGATCTAGCACGGCGGAGCCGCGGGTTGGTCTTTCCCTTGTCAAGAAAAGGGAGGGAAACAGGTGTGATGCGGGGAAGAATGCCAGACGGCGACAGCTGGGAGGAGGGTTGCGGCTGGCGAGCTCGAGACGGTGCAGTTAGGACAGTTTCAGGGAGCAACTGTTGGAAAAGAGGCAGCTCGAGACTCGCTTTCCCTGCGGGTGTAGTAGACGAGACACGGCCTTTCATTTGCTGAGTTTGTTCTGTCGGAAAGAGAATTGTTTCTGTTGCCGCGGTTGTCGGGAGGATAGCGGTAGATACATCCATCCCTTTAAATGTAGCATCACGAAATCAATCCTGGCACCAAGTGGAGTTGAGCCTCCTTTGGGTATCAGGCACCCCTGACTTCCAACACGGAAAAGGCTTGTGAGTACGAAGTGGTGGGACTAAGGATTTGTGGTTTTGAAGCCGATAGACACTAATGTTGTTGTTTCTGTGTGTGTGGATTGCCTCGCACCTCTTGTGGGTGGTCTGGCAAGTGGATGGTTTACCCTCTTTCCATGTAAAACTGGATCTGTACTTCAGCTCAGTTTATATGCTTTATTGGCAAAGAACAGAACATTGTCCAAAATAATTATCCACTGATTAATACAGTGGCTTAACTTAAAAAGTCAGTGGGGAAGATATGGAGCATTAATAATAGTATCCTACTATCCAGTACATGGCTTTATGAAGTTGTGGTGCAGCTCCCTGGCCCTTCTTGTTGGGTGGATTTTTTTTCTGTTCTAAGTTGTGTTGATCCTTGCAATTCCCTTCCCGGTGGGTTGTTATCTCGCTCCTTAATTAAAGTTGGACTGTGGTTTCTGCTACTGTGATAAGAGACTTGCATTGCAACTCCTAGTGCTTTCTGTTTTGTTATAGTACGGTTTGTTTCTTGAAAGTTGCCCTTGTTGGTGGATATGGTGTCAGTAATTTTACATTGTTTAAACAAAAAAAAAGTCAATCAGTGGTGGACCTTAACAGACAGCGTAACTGCTGTCCAAAGCTTTTTAGGTGTGTATGTGTATATATCTATGTATATATAGATATATGGTGTGATGGTTTAAAAATTGAGCAGCTCTGTGAACCAAGCCTGGATGCAGAGTGGCCATTTTTATAGCCAGAATGGGTCCAGTCTCAAATTTGACATTTAAAGACGATGTGCGAGGCATTTCAGAGGCAGCGGAGCTCAGTAAATGGGTTTGTAACAAATGTTCTTAAACTTTTCACTCGGCCAAGCGTTTGCAGTGTCTGTGACTGCACTCACTCCTCTTTGGGGTGGAGAAAAACAACAACAAACGTTTGAGAGCCTGGCACCTTTTTTATTAATTGGGGGAGGGGTTACAATCATTTTTTAAAAATGCTGGAGGTTGGTGACGTAGCAAGCAAAGTTCAGAGCTCTGGAAAGCCCAAATCCTCTGCTGGTTTGTGTCTTTTTTTTAAATGCAAACGTTGACAGGCGATCCCCCAGCGCGATGCTGCTTTGCAAAGGCACCAAAGCATTTGGGGCTCCTTGTGCACTTCGGGACCTGCCGCCTTCCTGGGGAAAAAGTTGCAGTTCAGGGGGAAGCAGAAAGGTGCCTTGTAATTTGGAGGTGGGTGGGGGGTGGAGTGTGGGGGGGGAGTTGGAAATCTTGGTAGCCTTGGCCAGTCCCAGCCCCAGAGAGAGTCAGAGAGACACACAGAGAGGAGGAGAAGCTGCTGCTGTTGCTGCTGCATCTAGGAATATGAATTTCCCCCCCCCAGCAGGTCGGATCACCTCGGCTCCATGGTGAGGAGAAAGAAGAGCCCCCCTGGGCCTGAGGAACAGCACAATGGGTAGGATGGGGTGGGGGCGAGTCACTTTTAGGGGCCCCTCTCCCCGCGCTGCGATCCCCTTGTTCCGCCGGGGTTTGGTGGCTGGTTTTCTCTCTCTCTCTCTCTGTGTCTGGCGAGCGCTTTCAAACGCCTGAGTTTGGCTTGGCGATTTCCTTGCCAAAGGCGCCCCTAATCTCTCCACCAAGGTGCCAGGGGGCTGCCGGGGGAGCCGGGCTCTCTTTTGGGCCGGTTTGGGGGGGTTCCTATGGGGCTTTCCCCCTCCCACCCCTCGGCACAGGTTGTTGGGTCGGGACAGCAAACGAAAGGGGATTTAGTAACAAACAACGGCGGCCATGTTGAGAGGAATTTCTGCAGCTAAACTTCTCCCCTCTCAGCCCAGGGATTTTTCTGCTCCTCGAGTGGGGTCTGTGGCTTGACTTTGTGTCCCCTTCTTGTCTTTCTCTCCTCCCCAACAGGATGACAGTGAAACTGGGTGAGAGCAGCGGGGAGGAAGGGGTGAAAAAGCTGGGCAAGAGAGCAGGCGGAGATGAGGAGTCCCTGGAAGAAGAAGGGGCAGGAGGAGGAGGAGAGGCAGCTCCAGGCAGCAGCAGCACAAAGAAAGAAGAGAAGATTATTAACAACAACACTAACAACAACCCCCCAGCGAACCCCAGTTTGCCCCAGGCCCCTTCCTCCCTCCAGCCATCCCACAGCCAGGACCAGCATCATTTTCTCAGGTCCAGTGTCAGACCTCAGAGCAAGAGGTTAAGGAAGGATTCTCAGGCATCCTCTTCAACTGGCAACAGCAGCAGCACTACTGCAAAAAGCAAAGGTACTGTATGTTTTCACCCTTAAAAAGCACATCAAAGCTGGGATGCAGGTGGGGTGTTGCCTGCAATTTCAAGGGGGCTTCTCTTGAGTCCTATGGATGCCATCTTTTCTACATTTCCCCCCTTGTTTTTGTGTTGTTTCTCATCCTGGCTGGATTCCTCTTTGTGTCCCAAGGTTCCAGCTCCAGTGCTGCCCACTCTTCATGCTTCCACTTGTAAATATGGGTACTTTGGATGTGTGCATGGAGGGGAAAAGCTCTGTTTATGATCAAAAAGGATATTTACCTCCTGGATTTAATCAGCATTAAGTCTTGTTAAATTCCTTTATTTTGACTAGTAAATCAGAATCTGGAAAGGTGTATAATCAAGGGACTATAAACAAGATTCCTAGTGGGGGGTTGTAACAATATTTGTTAGGTGTTAGAATAAAAAGAAAAACATCTTGCTATCTGTCCTCCACAAAATTATTTGTGAGGCTGTTACACAAAGAACTGGCTTTTGAAACATGTCTGAAATGCACATGCTGTAAGTGTGTCTAACCATGTTGCCCTAGGTTTTATGCAGTATCTTCCACTAATATGTTATCAGTTTAGAAGTACCCAGGATACTTTAAGAGGTAGCATTTAAAGGGGACTTTTTTTTTTTTTTTTTTAATTTGCCTGCTTGCTTGTTTGCTTTTTTTTTTTTAGCTTTAGTATCCTGGATAGGCTCTTGTTTCTTCAAAGCTGTTGCTTTTCTAGATAGGCAGAATGCAGGAAGACTGTTTGAGTGACTCGGTGTGTGCACAGCAATTACTGGTTGACACCTAGCAATGCAGTTGAGTTGTACTTGGAGATAATTTTAGGGACAGTGGGCAGCAATATTTAAATATCATTTGTTATTGTTTTGAAGAAGGATAACATTTGTGTATTTCTTTACTGTTTTATTTGTGGAAAGCAAACTTTACCTCCATCTAACCAAAGAAAAACATCTTGATGCTGCTTAAATATGTACTGCAGATTATCTCACCCTTGCTTTTTCTGGCATTGAATCTGCATATACTGTACATGAGGTAAAAATGCTGAGGGCCATAGTAGCAAATGCAAATTTGCTATGTGGCATATTTCATAAGGTGTCATATGTTTAGACGAGCCTTAAACTATGTTGAGTATGGCATATTTTTGTATTATTTATTAAATTGCTCCCAATTGGTTAGTAAATTCTGCTTAATTTTTTGAAACTGAGAAAAAGCTTTGATGTGGGGTGTGGTACCTGGAGCTGAGAAGCCAAGCTAATTCTGTCCCTGTTACATTTATACCAAAAAAAGACAGGAATATATGAGATGCAGCTAATTATTTTCTGGACTGAAAGTAATGTTAAATGAGAGCTTCATTTCTTTGGAATGTGTATGGCCTGCATGGTAAATAGATGTATATTTTTAAAGCCATGGAATGTTTTCAAGTAGGCCTGCTTATGCTAACAATTATCAAGCAAATTCTTTTTATTTTACAATTCAAATCCTGAAATTAACAACATGTAGGTAAATATAGTACAGACCAAAAGGACAAGAATCATTTCAATACTCGGACATAAATAAACAAAACATTAAGTCACTGTACCTGACTTGTTTCAGGTTTGGGGGAGTTTTGTTAAATCTTTGATGACACTCAGTGGTGGAATGATGATTATGCTCATGCTTCTTGAATTGCATACAGCCAGAACTCTGCTTGGCTAGCTTTGCTGTGAATGCGCTTGAGGCGATTTCGTAGATATTTCTGAGATGTCCGTGTCAGAATCTTAGAGAATAAAGCTGCGGAGTGCAATCTTTCTAAAATTTAGTTTACCTTCAAAGATGGAGACTCTGAAGCTAGTTTATCTGACTTCTCTCCCTGATGCCGAAATATTTTGTGATTTGCAATTTTTGTGAATTTACAGTCCTTATGAAGCACCACACAGTGTAAGCTTCCAGCTGGGTGATAATAGCATAGAGGACATTTTTAGAGCAAGTGGGTTTAAAAATCTTTAATCTTGCTCTCACTCCAAACCCTATATATCCTTCCACAAAAATAATATGCAACTGAGTTTAATACAGTCATCTGGTAGTGCTTTGCTGCAGTGCTTGTACAGGCTTCCTTGGACCTTCAGATCAACTATGAGAGCTCAAAACCTTTCCGTTATTCATGTAACACCTAGGATGATGTCTGTAAGGGCCATGTAAGCACTGGCCTTTAGGAATACCTGATACTAGCTTTAGGAATACCTGATTTACACTACCATTTGTTCTCTCTCATAAATCCAGCTTATTGTTGTGATCATAAATAATACTGTGGTAACCTTTCAAAATATTTTCAAAGGAGCTGTCTGTTCAGAATCTATAAAGATCTCACTTTGGGAATATGTGGAGAGGGAGTCAGAAGGGAATAGCATGTTTATTAAATATAGCATTTAAATTCTTTGAAGTAGTACCTACTCTCAGTACGTTTGTTGCTCATGATCATTTCTTTATAAGCCGCCCCAAAAAGAAGCATGCTTGTTTGAATCAAATTTATTTGTAATAGTTTGTGCTGTTTTGTGCTTTTTTTTTTTTTTTTTCCTTCGGTGAGTCTCCCTTCTCCTATAGGATAGTTAAGGGAACTTTTACCAAGTTCTTTTTTTCTCACATTCTATCCAGCAGAAGGTAAAGCTCTTGGGAGCTTTCTTAACTTTGTAATAAGCAGGAAGCTATTTCCAGCTGAATTCTGAAATTCTGGTTCTTGTTCTTTTAGCATACTGCGTTGCTATGGTTTGTACTTCAGAACAAAAATGCTACAAGCAGCAGCATTTTGAGATGAAGTATCAATGAAATTTCTTTTCTACTGTCCACCCATCTTGGGTGCTGAGTGAGAGGTCTCTCTGGTGTGCTGAATGTGTGTTGTTGTTTTGTTTTGTTTTGTTTTGTTTTGTTTTGTTTTGTTTTGTTTTGTTTTTAAAGGTCTTCTATAAACATTTTGGCTAAAGTGAACATGAAGTAGTAGCTGTCAAGTATTACAGCAATAGTTTGAGACAAATTAAGGGATTTCATTCCTGTCCTCTGCCCATTTCTCTCCATAGAGAATGAATTAAGGAAGACTAAATCACTTTTTGACAGCTCAATCATCCCATAGCTCTTCCAAAAGATAGGAATCATATTTTTATATTTCTGTTCCTGACTTACAATGTTTTGTGTGAGGATAGTTCCAATAACTATATGGATTAATACAGGAGTGTCAAAGATGGAGCGCTATCCTGCAAGTGTTATCATTTTGCCTGTGAGTCTTGGACAAGCCCTGTGCATTGGATGCAGCCTGTCTAGTATGTAGTGTACGTAGAGAGCGGGTTGGATGTGGTACACCCCGTGCACAACACAGGGGACCAGTCCAAGTGCACAGGGTCAGTCTGGCTCAGACACTACATGGAATAGGCATGTCAGACTGGCCCCACGTGCTTTACAGGACTGGGGCCGGTGCATGGAACCAGTCTGACATGGGCTCCACTTGGTGCCTGGGGCTGGAGCTGGCTAGCCCACACTACACATAACTCATGGAGCTGGTCTAGGGTATGTGCTGCATGTGGTGCCCGTGCCAGATGAGCCCTTCACACTGGAGGTGGGGCCAGTCTGGATTAGGCCCACAGAGTAGCCCTGTTTGCTGGATCCAGTGGACAGGGTTGGGCTGGCATGGGTGCCACATGCAGCATGTACCCCAAACCAGGCCTGCTTGTGCTGCACGTGGTGCACCAGGCTGGAGCTGACGTGCACTCTGCAAGCAGCACGCAGGGCTGATCTGTGATCATGATCCAGGTTGTAGACTGGCCCCACACCCTTCAGACTGGGCGAGTTTGACACCCCTGGGTTAGCCACAGTTCTTATAAGAATGCTCTTCAGTTTAAGGAGTTTAAAGATTAAAACATTATAGATTAAAATGTTCCATCTTCTCTAGCTGGCCTCTAAAATTTCATCCATTTGAGAAGATAACCACAGGTTGATTCAAGCCAGCACTATTTGCATATCATATAGCCTATGCATTAGGGCTGGTTAACTGCCAATGGCACTCATGTACTGAAATCCCTTTCCAGAAATTTGATTTCTAACCTTGATGGGGGGAAGGGGGTTCAAAATCTTCAAAATTAGTTTGTGTGTAATGTTACATATTGTAGCCTTGGTGAAGACCGATGTGTCTCCTAATTCTATTTCCCTAAGTAATACATATCAGTTTAAAATCTATGAGCATAATATCTTTTATTCTTATTTTCTTCCTAATTCAGTCTCTGTTGTCATTTATTCCATACTTTCTTCCTTCATGTTCATTCTGTGTCATGAATTCACTGTTCTTTCCTGCTTGCCCTGGAAATCAGCAGAAGACTAGGAAGGAACTCTCCATCCCTTCCAACATCCCCAAAACAGAAGCAGCATAGTTTAGATCCCTTGCATGGCAAACTGTGAGCTTTGCATGGTACCCACCAGTAGAGGTGTAGTTGTCTATGCCTGTGTCATTAACATAATTGAAATCCCTATTAAATATTGTTTCTGCTTAAGGATGTACCCACATGAGTTTCTTAAATATTTGATTGCCTTATTTCTAAGCAAAATAGCAATGAATGCTATGTACCTTTTAAATATGCTGTGCTATTCATACTGGATAACTCAAGCTGTGTTTTAAATTCCAAATATATGCATCTATATTATTAAGTACCTAAGTGAATCTTTTTTATTTTTTATATTAAGAAGCTGAAAGCCAAGTGTTGTTTGTTTCTTTTTTAACCTGATTGCATTTTCCTCATATTGTAAAACATTGTAAAGGGTGTGTAGAAGGGGGAGATATGCTTATGTAAACATAACCAAACTTTTATCGTATATTAAAGTCCAGTTAATTCTGTATGTTGGAAACAAAAGTTGATGTGTGGTGTTGGGCTTTAATGCATACTTCCCTTAAAACTTTAATGTTGGAGCAAGTGGATAGTAACTTTCTATAGGTGGGAACATCAGTACATTTTTAGTAGGCCCTGCTATATTCAAAATATTGTAGGTGCCTGTAGAGAGACTGCCTGTTCTAGCCATGCATATTTGAACTAGCAAGTGCAGAAATCTATATTGTATACTGAAAGCTCTGTAACATTTTTTTGCATGTAGTACCCTGACAGCAATTGGAACCAGACATGTTGAAACAAGTTCAGCTGCATTTTAGCAGTGTGATTTCTTTTTGTGCCTGTTTTGTTAGAGATAAACAAAGATCTCTATTAGGCTTTATCTTTGTTAGAAATTTAACTGCCTTGTTTAAAGCGTCAGGTGTCCATAGTAAGAAACTGGTGTGAACATATAGTATGACGTGCTATCCTAGGTTTGTGCTTCCGGGGATTCCATGCCACTTTCTGTTTAAAAGAAATGGGCAATGAATAGTACTCGTGGGCTATGCTTGTACTCGGACTGATATATCAGTCTCTCTTTTATTCAAGTGTTTCCCAAACATGGGATCACAGCATTTACAAGTGGAGTCATGTGCCCTACAAGTATTCAAAAGATGAAGTTGGGCATGTGCTCATAGATGGGGTTCGAAGCCATTCTAGCCTCTTCTAAACTAGAGATGCCTCTTCCTTGTCTGATAGTAAATTGTTTGGATCCAGGCTGCAGCTCTGTAGGATTATTGCACAAGACAACATGTGGTTTTGAACTCCTGAAGTCCATGTTTTTCATTGGATTGTGCTGATTCCTTCATTGCACTAGGTTAAGCTGCCTTTGGCCATTGAAAAGATGAATGTGATTGTTTAAACACAGCCTACATTTGTTTGAGGGGAGTGAGAGAGCTTTCTTTTAAGTTCGGGTGTTTTCACAGTAAAATCAAGAAGAAAAACATTTATGAGTATAGCAAGGTGCGATAGCAGCTGTTCTGAAAATTCCAAAATCATAGTACCTCATAAGTGCAACTGGGCTATAGAGGATAAGTGTTTTTTTCGCTATTCAGCGTAGATGGAATGCAGAAAATTAGTAAAGAGATTTTCCAATCTTCCTAATGCAGTCCTTCAGCTAAGAAGTACTTGTAAAGATGAAGTTATTCCTACAATAAAAGACCAGAATATGTAAGAACACTGTTTCAAAGGAATCTCTTGCCCGTATTTTCTAAGTTGGAATTTAGTAGGTATATTTTAGGAAATGGAAACAAAAATGTGCTTTACTCTTAATTTCAGTCTTATTCTGTACAGGCAGTATCACTACAAGTTGTATTCCTTTCCTACAGGAGCATCTGGTAGATGTTCTGCAGGGAGCTGACAAGTGACTCCTGAAGATGGCATTTTATATACTAGTTTTAATATTAGTCTGCAGGGCACAGATAAGAGGTCTAATGTATGTTCATTTGGACTGGTGGTTCAGAGTAGATTGATTCTGTTGGACAGCAGCCCCTTTGTATGAGGGGTCCAGCAGCTGAAGCTGTGAATCTGATGACTTCTGTAAGGTGCCTGTGGGAATGTTTAGAGAACAAACAGTAAGCTGCAACTCGGAGCCTAGATGAAAAACCTGTCGTGACTGTAGCTTTGATGAGACACCAATACCGTCAGTGACTCACCTATCTGATATATGCAGTGTTCCATTGTTTGTAACTTGCATGTCAAGGTTTTACATTTCAATCCTTAAGCCCATTACTACAATTTTTAAAGAAATTTCCTGTCTTAATGCTTCTAAGTAGAACACCTGACTTCTTTCTGACAGATCACAAAGGTCATGGAAAGAGACTTCTTGTCTTGCAAGGGATGGCAAAGTCTTTTTTTTTCCCGAAGCCCAGACAGAATGCTGCAAACCAAGTCCTGTTAAGCCTTATGTGATCCCTGGTCCTTCTGGTTATAAGGACCAAGCTTTATTAGAGTAGGATGTATGCTGAACCACAGCCTAGGATCTATAGTGAGTTAGAACTTACACCATTGACTGAGACACAACCTGAGGCTAAGTAAAGCAAAACATTGTGGTATGTCTGGAGTGGGAGCCTTGAGTGCAAGTCTGAAGCAGATATATAAATAGTTAGAAACCACTAGATTAACAAAATGAGTAAACTGATCCAAATCATTAGGGTCATATGAAAGAGATCTGTAGTTTTGTTTGGAGTTGTCCTGCAAAGTTCATTATGAATATTAGCATGTACAAAAACTTACTTCTTCTGTTGCAGACTGTAAAGCAAGAACCAATGCTAACAAGTCTTGCATTCAGAGTTGGGGCTTTGTACCTGTCGAGCTAGAGTTTTCCCCTGTGTGCAGAAGAGTAGAAGAAACAAGTCGTTGGAGATATAATCATATGGGATGTCCAGTCTTGTGACTTGTGTAACTTGATGTCAGGAACTGGACTGAGAATAACTTATCTCATCTGCAATGATCTCCTGATATAAACCATCTCTTTAGAATAGGCTCCTAGGTCAAATTCCTAGCTGGGATTCTTGAAATCCTCTCTTCCTCTATCCAGCAGTTAATGTAGAGGTACTAGAATGGACAACTTCACTGTGGGCTTTCTTATTAATTTATTTTCACACTTCACTTGAGTTTCAAATGATCTTTTGAGAAGAACTTGAAGTGTTTTTAGGTAATTTGTGCTTAATATATATTGCATCTGTGAAACCTTTAAACCACAATTTTTTCAGGAAAAACATTATAATGCACACAAATGCTTTCATTTTCTCCAATGTCTTTCATCCCTGAGTGCTTTAAATAGCGTGTGGTAAGGAGAATACTCCTTGCGCTGCTGAAACATGGTGATCACCTCCAGGACTGATTGTGGCAGCAAACTGGTAAATGCTGTGGTGAACTGTAATGGGCAAACAAGATTTTTTCAGAGGGTACTGTAACAAACTCCTTTTCCTAGGAGGAAGAAAATGGAAGCTAAAGCCTTTGAAGCATTGATGAAATATTAAGTTTTAAGGACTTATCAGACAACTTTCTTTCAAATACATTGCTTGGGATTGAATTTGTCTATTTTGAAAGGGTAGAGGTCTGAATTGATCTTTCAAGGATATAAACTATAGTTCAGGGTGGCTGGATATTCCAGACATAAGATATAAGATAACGAAAGGGTAGAGCTGTTTTGAACTAAGTATTATGTAGAGTTGAAAGAATGGAGTCCTTAGAATCATTGCTTTCATTTTGTTACCTGCAAGTGAGACGTAATGTCTTCTGATTTTAAATGATGACAAATATCTTTCATTTTGATTGGAATTCCTAGATGCTTAAAGTCTTAATTGATTTTCTGCTTCACACATTTTAGAATGAAAGTTTTATATACCAAATGTGCAAAATACATGTACATCTAAAAATGTAATTTTTTTAGAAAATCATTGATTAAATCTGTGTTCTGGTAATTGATTAGTATTGTGATTAATTGAGTACATGTGGATAGATAATTAATCAGTTATTTTGGATAATCAAGCTCCTAAAAACATTCATTCAGAACATGCAAGAGGGCTACATTCAAAAGAATACTTTCAGGATTTTTAGTCCCTCTCTGCATCACTTTTAATGGCAGAGTTAATGCCTGGAAAACATAAGAAATGTTTGCCTTAAAGTTATTGCTGTATATGAAATGTCCATTTCGTATGAAGTGTATTGTATATACAAAATAAAAACATGCCATTTCAAATGCCTTGCTGAATATTGTAAATAGGTTAGTTTGGAATGTGTTTGTTATGCTACTGAAAATGAATCATGAATAAGAATAAGAAACCATGAATAATAATTCTTGCTGTATTTATCTTCCTCGTCCTTTCCTTTATTCTACAGGCGTCCCTCGCCTTTTGCAGGGGATACGTTCTCATAGCGAATGGCTAAATCCGCAAATCCTACTTCTTCGTATAACCATAACTCATAATCTGCTTTGTGTTTCTTGTGAAATTCTTGGAAAAATTTTATATTGGAAACTTTCTTCTCAGGTATGTTTTCTTTATATATGATGGTTTTTGTCTTCACTTGCTTTCCACAGGAGCAGATAATGGGGGGACTTCATCTGGTAGTACATCAGGAATTCCTCCCAGCACTCCTACTGGGAGTTCCAAGGCAGCAGCAAGGAATCTGGGCTCCTCAGCTGGAGAGAAGGAAGAAGGAAAGAAGGTCAGACGTCAGTGGGAATCATGGAGTACAGAGGACAAGAATACCTTCTTTGAGGGACTATATGAGGTATGCATAGAAGAGGAATGGTAAGAGTAGTGCACCTTAGAGCTTACGTTTGATTGGCTTGGTTTAATGTTTGAAGAAAGTCTGGATTGGGATTTTTTTAAAGGATTGTTTAGGATGAGTTTACATGTGCAGTTACCAGGGGTACACCAGTAGAGATTTTGGGGACCGATACCAATAGCCGGTATTTAAGGAGGCATGTCAACCAGTGCTGATCCAATACAGCTGCCTCCAGGGGGTAAGTCCAGTATGGTGGAAGGGGAGGGAAAAGGCAGGGAGGTGCATATCAACGCCCCGGCAGTGAGGGAGGGGGCAGGTCTGCTGGGGCAGGGGGCCATGGGACAGAGGTGCAGCTTGTGGGGTGGGGGCAGCTCCCACCTGGCAGGGAGGCAGATCTGCATGGCACAGAATGGGCTGCAGCTGTGGGGTGGAGCCAGAGCTGGTGCTGCGCAGTGCTTTTCTTGCCGGGCGCTAGGATTGGAGCAGGCTCTGGCAGCGGTGAGAGGAGGCTGCAGCCACCCCAAATTTTGCTGCAGCTCTGCTCCCAGCACTGTGCTGCTGCCTGGTGCAGCTCCGGCTTTACCCGGTGTTTGAGTAGAGGAGGGACATTCAGCCAGGGTTGCGCCAGGCAGCGGCATGGGGCTTAGAGTGGAACTGTGGCAAAATTTGGGGTGGTTGCAGCCTCCTCCCAGCACCGCTGGAGCCTGCTCCAAGCCCAGTGCCCACCAAGAAAAGCCCTACACAGCACCAGCACCAGCTCCGTCCTGCAGCTGCTGCCTGCCCCGCACCATGCAGATCTAGGGGCACATGCCTCCCTGCTCCACCTTCCCAGGGTGCAAGCAAGCATGGGAACCATCCCCACCCCATTAGCCACGGCTCCATCCCACGCCCCCTCCGCTCCCTTTGGGCAGTGCTTGCCCCTTCCCTCCCCCCTCCCCTTCCAACTTACCAGCTGAAGGCAGCTCTCCACATTGCTGGCTGTGCGCAGCACGGCATTTATCGGCCCCATAGGGCTGATATCTGATATAGACAATTTTCTTCATATCGGTACCGATCTGATATCAGATCGATGTATCGATGTACCTCTAGCAGTTACAGTTAAATATGCACGTGCAGAATTGTTATAAGGATAAGAAGTGAAAAAGTAAGCTTTGGCAAAGGCTTGTGCACCTTGTGTCTTGGTCTCTTGGAATCTCAGTTGGGTGATGCCAGGTCAGTACAGTCAAATCTGTGTTAACTGGCATTCTGCTAACTGGAACACTGTATTAACCAGAATTTCCAGCTGGCCCTGGGTGGGGGGGAAGCTCGCATGTAGAGGCTGCCGCTGGTTTGCCCCTGCCCCCCCCCCCCCGCCCCGTGCTGCTGCCGCCACACACCCATCCCTGCTCCACAGGGGTTTTCAAAAAGGTTGAAAACCCCTGCCTTAGATAACCGGAATTTTTAGGTAACCGGCACCCCATTCCCCACTCATAATGGATAACAGAGCTTTTGCTGTACTTCGATGGGAGAAATGAGGGAAAAAACCTATATTTAGATCCTTTATTTTAGTCCCCTTGGTAACGTATGCAATACATTTTTCAAATGGGTATAAACAGAGTATTATGACCAAATGAATACTTTAATGTTCAGTTTTTATAGTCTAAAGCTGTGGTTCTCAACTTTTTTAGACTCGGGGTACTTCTTGTTGGACTCAGGGCACCCCTTGGAAGATGCCAGTTCTTCATTTTCACTCACTCTTTTTTGACTACAGAAGAATAATAGAGCAATTATTCTTCAAAGAACTTGCCACAGCGGGCAGAATGGTTTAATATTATAAATTCCTATTTCAAATCTCTGTTTAGCTTGTGAATCATGTTCACACACCTAACAGTACTAACATTGTGTGGCATCCCACATCACCCCTGAAAAGATCTCAGAGCACTGCAGGGTATCCTGGCACCCTTGTTAAGAATCACTGCTCTATGCAATCTGAGAGGTTTTTTGGTACCATAATAATAAATGTTCATTAACCCAAAATATCCTAAAGCAATATAAAAAGGTGTGGGAATTGTTTTATAACCTACATGGAGACAAACTAAGCTTCTCATTCAATAGCTGTTTGAATCCAAATGTTGATTTCCTTTTTCTCCTGCTGAGATGAGAATGGTTCATAAATGTATTAAAGACTGGTTCAGTAAGTGGAGTTGGAATAAATGCAGTTCAATTGAAGTTGAACTAGGTTAGGCTTATTCACACTAGGTTTGAATGTGGCCTGTTTCCTTGACCTTTTCTTCATACTCTTTGCCAATGTTGATTTGGTTCTTCTGTAGGCCAACCCAGGAAGAGCATAGTCTTTATCTAAAATACTCTTAAGAATTTTCTTTTTCTATCTCCTGCACTCTTTTGCTTTTCATTTGATTTTGAATCTTGTATTTTTCAAGCATGGGAAGGACTTTGAAGCTATTCAGAACAACATTGCGCTGAAGTACAAGAAAAAAGGCAAACCAGCAAGTATGGTGAAGAACAAAGAGCAAGTCCGGCACTTTTATTATCGTACCTGGCACAAGATTTCCAAATACATTGACTTCGATAATGGTGAGTGTGCAATGGGAAGGCCTCCATGGACATCTCAGTGTTCAGGAAGGATATTCTCCAGTGGGAGATAGAGCCATGAGAATTAATTCTATGGAATAATAGAAACAGTGACTTGGAAGATAACTCTGAATACTTTGTATTATTCTTAGCATGGCCAAATTGGCTTACTTAGTTTTAAATCTAGCTATTGGAAAATATTTTTATGATAAAATGGGCCATTCCTCCATTACTTGTTATCTCACACTACCATAGGTCAATAATTGTGTGGATTAAATAGATGTATTTTGTAACAACCTTAGGCACCACTTTGGTGTTTGAAGGGCAGGCAGCTAAGACCATTGTAGCCAATTGCAACTTTCCTGAAGAAATACAGCTGAGCCCTGGCTGTCCTAGCTTCTTCGGCCTGCTGTATTCCAGGTAAAATCCAGTAAGGAGAAAATGGTTTGGCAGACTAACAGATGGCTGGAATGTTGAGTTTTCCCTGCACTTTTCTACTCAATACACTTGAAATTGTTTCAGTGATTTAGGAACTTGTTTAGTGCTTTTTATTTCACTATTGCTTCTCTCGTGATCAAATAAAAATGAAGAAATTGTAGCTGTGCATGTAGCATGGCAATTCATAAAAGTAATGGTAAAAAGGATTTTTTTCTTTTTTGGATTAATTTGAACAGTATACTTTAAATGAAGATGAAACTGGGCTTCTGACCATTTGCAAGTAGCTTTATCTAGATCAGTGGTTCTCAGTCTTTTTAGACTCAAGGCACCCCTCCATATCCTGAATTTAATGGCGCTCCACTTCAAAATCAAATGTTTCTTACAGTGTGTACCTCCTTGTACCCTGTGTCACCATTAAAAAGTGTTCACAGGATGGAAGGGGCACCCTTGAGAGCATGTCAAGGAGTTGTGCATAATGCTTCATGCTAGCGGGCTGCTTGGTGGGGCAGATTTGGGGACTTAAAGGTGCATTATTAGATCCCTGAAGGAAATGGCTGTCTCTGAAGGAGGCAGAAGGGAGTGAAAGTGGCTGCTGGAGGCATGGAGGTTGGTGCCAGGTGAGGGTGGCATCTTTCCTCTGTCTGCCTCCTCCCTTCCTCCAGTTGGTACTTGAGGGGGCAGGTGCCCCCACCACTGCAGCTGCTTGTCCAGGGGCTTGCATGCTGGCAACTAGAGCTACCTGCTCCTGTGGCTTCTACAAGTTCTGGGAGCACAGGAGGAGCAGGAGAGTAAGATGGGCTGAAAAGCATGGCCCCACAGTCCTCGGTCAGCCTGCCTGCCTGCAGCAGAGCACACTGCTTGGAGGGTCGAGGTAGTCAGTGCAGGGGTTAGGATCGTGAGGGAGACAGGAGCCAGAGCAGCCAGGGGTGCCACTTGTTTGTAGGATGCTGGGGTGGGCTCAGGGTGCCTAAAAGGTGGAGGAGGAGTCAGCACTTACCTTCTCATGCAGAGACCAAGGACTGTGGCACCCTTAAAGGGATCTTGTGGTACCCCTGTTGAGAGTCACTGGTGAAGAGATGGACATAGAGACTTCTAGTACAGTTCCTAGACATCTTTAAACAGTCAAAATCAATTGGGAGTACACCTGTGTTGGAAATCAAACCGCAAGTATGGGTCCCTATACACTTTCCAGCTTGCCGATCCTTCATTCTACTTTGATACCAATTATTACAGCTGGCTGTTTGTATTTAAGAGAAACAGTATTTAACTATCTTTAACTTCTGTTAAAGTCCTCAGAATAAGTTCATCCAGACATCATCTACTGTTTAAAAAAAAAAAAAATCTACTTGTCCAAGGGAAACTTAAGGCGTTCAGTGTTGATGACCAGTTGCCACAAGAGTTATGTAGTATGTATTGCAACACACTTCTAGGAAAACCAGATGTATGGTAACGTTCCTATAATAAAATGTCTTCTAAAACATGGTTTTGTCCGTCCTTAAGATTGGGGTTTTAAGAGAGGACATCTTTTTGTAAACCACATTTTAATAAAGGTGACATTTTTTGAGTGCTTTCCTAATACATTGGAGTTGGTGACTATTTGTTTGCCACTTTGAGATCAGATACCTTTTTTTAAATATTAAAAAACCCCAAAACACCGCAAATCCAATATTGGAAGAAACCTGTCTCCACAGGACTTCAGAAGTCCTGCCAAGGAGCATCTTCTGTTGTGGGCTGGATAAGCAGAAATGAATGAAGGTAAACATTTTATATCCAAATCTATAAGGTGTGAAAACTCTCTGGTTGCCTATGTAGAGGCTTAAGAACCTGTGTAATTTCTGGTTAACATTAGTACTGATGAGGTTGTATGTGAATTTTGAACTTTTTGGTAACCTTTAGGTCAAGGAGAATTGCAGTTGTCGAGAGTCAGGTGTCTTTCTTGGACTGATAAGTATGCCACAAGGATTTCTCTTGTGTGTCCTGGATATTGGACATAATACACATAATGATGCTCACATTGATTTATGTTGATGATGGGAAAAGAAAACCCCAGAAACTTACTAGTGAATATGTTGTTATACATTTAGAATACAGAATTTTATAAACATTTCAAGCTGTGCTAATGCCTCCTGGAAAAGTAAAATCATAGTTCCATCATCACTTAATTTTTTTTTTAAATTATGTCTAATGTATATACAGCTGACTTAATTCTGTTTTCCCTGTTTAAAATCCAGGTTTTTTTAAATTATGGGAAAGCCACTTGAGATTTTAACTCTGCATAAAAATGCTACATTTCCCAGATATAAAGTCACAACTATGAAATGTGTGCACTCTTCTGCTTATAGCATTACTGTGAAATCAGACTCGATGCTATTTGCAGTGGGAACTTCACATAGCCGTTAAATCTATGTGGATTTTTGTCCTGTACACTGAGTGTTTTTGGTGAAAGTCGCTTGGTCTATTGGTGTTATCTACGCATATATTTTCTCATAACTCACCTGACAGCTGTTTTGTTTTTTGCAGTGTTTTCTCAAGGGCTGAAAAAATCCTCCCTGGAGCTTTATGGATTAATCTGCTATGGGGAGCTAAGGAAAAAGATTGGGGGATGTGAGTATGAATGCCCACTAGTAATGGAAATTTGTTTTTATGCTGTAGAGTCGAGAAGTTCTACCCTTGAGGATGGGCATGGCTTGGACTGTTCTGCTTTAATGGTTTTCAAAATGTGTGTCCATTTGTATTCCACTACAATTCTTTTTGGCATAGTTTTTTTTCTTTTTTCTTTGGTGGAGAGTGGGAATTTTTAATTCTGTTCTGTAAGAATATTTTTTAGTCAGGCACATGAGATTTCCCTTTTCCTTTAGCATAGTCTTTGTAGATTTCTTTATGTAAATAATGCAAGAAGTAGAAAACACAGATCTGGGTGGTGGTTATTTATTTACTTAAAGTATCTCTACATTTTCAGGTGAAATGTATGTAATTTAGATGCTTGTACTTGAGTATTCTTGAAAAATCAGGTAATTAACTATAATTTTCCAGGTAAGAATAATTGCAGGAGCAAATTATGTAATTTACAATGTTTAGGATAATACATTTCTCCAAATCAGGCTTAAAATTTTTATTTAACAATATTCAAAATGAATAAACATTAACAGTCTTGATCAGAAATAACAGTTTTAACAGTTCACAAACACAGTCTGAATAACTCAGATTCTTCAACCCTGTCAACACCATAGCATATCTTGTATGTTGCTTTCAGTCTGGTACCATGTTTTTGATGACGTGAAGGCTCCAAGATTGGCGTAGCATATACATGTGTAGCTTTGGTATTATGTTGGTGCTTATTTCCTTTTAAAGACTTCATTGCTTTTAAAATTACAAAATGAAAAGGCATAAGGGATGGATGGCTTGAAATCCTAACTGGATAATGATGTACCAGGGGATTTCTTACTACATACTGTTCACACTGGGGTTTTTACTGTATTATCTCATGAATTGGATGTTGAGGCTGTGCCCATTAACTTTATTTTGTTAGCTCAGAAGTTCTTGAGTAGGCTAAGCCATCTTGAGGGAACTATTTTTATGTTATTTGTTTCTGGACAGAGGTGCAGAAGCAAGACAGATTATATCATCAACAGAAAAATGCTAGTAGTATGTCTTTCTCTCCTTCACAACTTGTCTGTGAATGATTGAGAGCATCAGCTGACCCTTCCTTGTTTATGACTGGAAATAGGATTTCTCCCAGTCATCCTGAAAGGACCTCCACGTTGTGCTTCAGCCATATTTGGCACCACATTGGTGTCCATTGTCCTCTTGAAAATTCTGTTCCTTTTTGTTAGTTTCCCCTTCTGACATGAGCAGTAACCCCTCTCACTCAGGTTCTGTGACAAATGTACTCTGCTGCTTCTTGGAATCCTCCTCTTTGCCTTTCTGGTGGAACCCAAGAAGTCTTTACCACTAGAAATTGCCAGTGAATGTTATGCAGAACTATGAAGACATAAAAGCTTGTCGGGAATGACTTTCACCTCTAATGGGGAAAGGACAATTCCTGTACAAGCAAAATCAGTCTTTACTACACAGAGGATAGATCACATTACCTTAATGGAAGTTTCAAAATATGCATTGCAACAATGTCAGCGTAACTTTCTTTTTTCTTTTTATTTTCTTCTGCCACATCCAAACATATATGAGGGTTTGAGGCTTCTCCATAATGCTATGCTGCCCTAGCAACAGATATTGAGCATGAAGATCAGAAAGTTTTACTGCTAATTGCAGTGTCACATTTGCAAAACACTGCAATGTCATTGCAGTGCAGATGAACTTTGATCTTTTAAATCTACAAATGAAATATAATTAACAGCAGGATGTGCATGAACCCTACAAACTGTACTAAAAGTGATTGTCCTCTCCAGGTTTGTAAGTAGCACATTTTCAGGAAGTTTCTGTTGTAGCCCAGGCATCTCTGTCTCACAAGACAATCGATTTGCACCAAGTGAGGCATCAATTCATTAAACATCTGTGTGTGGTTGTAGAGCCTAGTTCTTGAGTGACAGTCTTCCACGTTTAACGCACATGAAGTTCATGTTTAACAGTCTTGAATGTGGTATGGGATTCTTCCTAAACTTTCTTTTTTCTTCTGTATGTTGGGCTCTTTTTCTTTTCAAAAGTCTTTATTCCACGCTTAATAGACTGTTTCCAAGCACTTTGATACTCTGGTATTATTATACTACATCCAAGGTATTATTATACTAAAATGTATTGTTTCATCAGAATATATAGCCTACATATCAATATACCATAATATTGAAAAGCATACAGACAAAATTATTACTTGTGTCCTGCATTATTTAATTCCTAATATCTTATGTTTGTTTTTCCTTTTCACTTAAAGGTATGGATGATAAAAATGCAGCTAAACTCAATGAGCTCATCCAAGTTGGGTAAGTCAGAATTTTTCCCAACACTGATTGCCAAATTAATAGCCCAGAGCTTGGAGCATTTACTGTGCAAAAGTTACAGTTTGATTTAACACACTGAACAAATAATCTTGTTCCAGGTTTTTTTCCCTTCTGAGAGGCAAATTAATTGAAATAGGGAACACATGATGAGTGAAATTTAAGAGATACCTGGTAATGCAAACGTTTTCTAGAAGATGTGGCCTAAATTGAATTGAACCTACAGAGTATAAAGATCTATAGTCCTAGTATGCAGTTTTCTCTCACAACTCTGCTTGCTGTTCTCTCCAGTTGTGACATCTTGCCCAGAGTACTGTGGCTTTAGCCCTCCACAGAGCTCTTCCAACATTCCCACAGCTTCGGTCCTGCAAACAGTTACACAGGTACTTGGCTGTCAGCATGAATAATTTCCTTGACTTCATAAGGATTTACAGGATTAGAGTGTCAGTTCTCACCTGCACTCTCCTCTGGGTTATAGAAGCAGTGAGAAATATGCCTGTTATAAATGAGGCAGTGCATGAAATATTTAAAAATATATAAAGCCCTAAAAGACAACACTTTAGTGCTGGCAACACCCCTAATTCTCACTTTCTGAACAATGAAAATGAACTTTGCAACCATTTTGCAATGCAGGCAAACCAGGCATTTTGCTTTAATTTTAATATGATATATTCTCCCTGTTCAGTGGGGTACTGTACAGTATCTTTGCAAGGTTAGCAGTTGTGTTGCAAATCTTAACTAATATTTTGCAGAATAGCCTGCAGGTTGTTCTGTTAACTGGAAAATTGGCGACGGGAGAAAGGGGATGTGAAATGGGACTAGAACCTTTAGTAATCTTTTTAAATCGGCTATAAATTTTTGGGGGGGCATAGACAGTTTCATTTGTTATACCAATGCTTAGGTTCATATGTCTGCCATTGGAGAAATAGGTAGGTCTTCATCTTTTAAGCATTTCTAAAGTGTTCATTACTTTTACCACTTAGATGCTAGAATAGATTCATACTTTCATACGTTGCACTGGGGCCCTGTTGTAAAGTCAATGCCATCATGTAGGCTAGGCAACATTTGACAAGACCAAAATCATTTTTAGTTAATGTCACCGTAGTCCTGCAGTGCATTGTTGACAGGCTCAGGGGTTTTCCCATCAGCATTGCTTTGCGGGATTTGAGGGCTTAACTCTGATTTGTTCAAACCAAAGGTTGACAGTCTAGGAAAACCCTGGATAGTAATTCTGTCAAGATTTTCTCTTGTAACTTAGTATTCAGAAACATGTATCCTTGCACTTAACATTAACACTCAGTCTTTTAGTATGACCTGCAATGCATGTAGATTTTTAATTTTTCACACACACACACACACACACACACACACACACACACACACACACACACACGACTGAAATCTTCTCTCTCCTGCTCACCAGCTGCTAAAATTCCCCCCTATTGTGTTACAAATTAATAATCATAATCTTATTTTCTGGCATTCTGTTCTCTGCCCCAGTCCCTAATGATTATTAACTATATGTCATATAGAAAAAATGTTCTTGTAATTCTCGTGTGTATTATGCAAGAGCTTCCTTTGACAAGTTGGAGAACTTTTGAGTAGCCACCCAGCAAGTTAGGGGCAGAGCTGGATCTAGAGTCTGAAGGGTCCTAGATTTTTGTCCTGGCTGTTCTCTGTTAACACCTTGCTTCACCCCAGGCTTTCTATAAGATTCCTGCTTATGGTTTATCAAAATTGAATGTCCACATATGGGAGTCAATTTTCACAGCCAAGATGAAGACCCAGGCCACAAACATCAAGTTTTGATTGGAAAATTAACCCTGTAACTACGTCAAGCAGTAAGAATTGTTTTTCTGCCAAATGGCACACTTCACTTAAGTTGGTAACTCAGCTTAGGAGTCTTGCAGCTTTTCTGTACTCATCTTAGAAATACCAGAAATATTTAGAATTGAGCAATTATAAGGCTTTTAGTTAACTGCTGACTGCAGCCTGAATCAGCAGGGGTCCATAAAATAGGTCAAAACATAGGTGCTTATCAATCCTGAGGGAACACGGGAATTGTGTGCTGCATTAGTTCAACCCAGTGGTCCATCGGGTTTGATATCTTCCTCACAACCCTAGCTACATCAACTGTTTTAGAGACAGCTGGCAGAATCAATATTCTGGGTGTATTGTTAATAATTGTTGGAATTTGTATTATCTTTCTACTCTACTCAGACTTCCTTTTTTTATCGGTTCACATAGCACAAACATTGTGTCTTGGGATAATGTAAAGATGTGTCAACATGAAATAAGAGGTTTGTGTAAGAACTTGTACCAGAATTGTTAAATCTGGTATATTTAAGCCCATACCTTAGGCTTTGTTAAATGAAATGGTTAAAAAGCCCAAACTCTGTACAAATGGTTTTACAAACTTTTAAATGAAAAGGTATTTTGTGGAGGGAGACTAACTTATGGTCAGATTGATACAGACTGTGGGACTTTTTGCCTTCCTCTGCAATGGGGTCCTGACCCTCCTCCTTGAATCTCTCAAGCATATTTTAACCACCCTTGCATCAGCAGAATACTGTTTACTGTTGTCTCCCTGCTTTATCTATGACAGGTAGGGTGCTATGCCTTGTAGTTGGGCAACAGGGTTGATTGTGCAGTTTTAGTAATAGGTTAGACAGGGATTTGTGTGGGGTGATTTGGATAGGGATGATCCTGCTTGAGGCAGGGGGCTAAATTAGATGGCCCCAGGAGGTCCCTTCCAACCATACTTCTCTGTGATTTTTTGCTGCTTGCAGACATTAAAAAAAAACAAATACCACACTTTAACACAAGAAATCACGCGTTACTCCAACCCAGCTTTTCAGCGTCTGTAAAGATTGAGCATTTTAGTGGGGCTTTTTGGCACTTTTAGCTAAAGTTGATTCAATCAGCCATTAGATAGTGGTGCTAAAAAAAGCACCACTAAAGCACCTGATCTTTACAGATGTCAAGCAAGCCAGATTGAAGTAACTCACTGTCTCTTCTGGATATATGTGGGGCTCAGTGCAGGAATGTGCCAAGTTTTAAATTAAAGTGTCTTTTTTTCCCTAGCATCTGCAAGCACCCATAGTGACTTAAAACTTTGCTGACTGTGTTTATAAACCCACCATTGTAATCTTGTGCTGGCTTTTCAGAACCAGAAAGAGAAACTGAACGTTCTGTTAGGGAGATGGTTCACTGTTTCGAATGCTACCCTAATTTGCAGGAGGCCTGGTTTCAAATACCTTTTGTGCCATTGGCTTTCTGTGTTACTTTGAACAAGTCACTCTCTCTTTATCAGTTCCCCTTAAAATAGTGTTGAGAGGATAAGTATGTTAGAAATTATAAAGTCCTTTAGTTACTACAGTAATAGTAGCTGGTAAGTACATGAATGCATGCTCATTGTATACACAGAAAAAATGTAAAACAAGCTAAGCACCTTAAATAGTGAAACATTAAAACATCTGTTTCGAATACAAATCAGATAATTTGAATAATTTGAGAAACTGCTAATAGCACAAGTAAGATTTGTTTGTTTTTTGTGCTCATGTCTGTACTATTAATGCCTCTCTGCATAGGTATGATTTCATAGATTTCAGAGATTTTTAGGGTCGGAAGAGACCTTAGTAGATCATCAAGTCCGACCCCCTTGCCCTGGCAGGAAAGAGCTCTGGGGTCAGATGACCCCAGCTAGGTGCTTGTCTAGTCTTCTTTTGTCTAGTCTTCTTTTAAAGACCTCCAAGGTAGGGGAGAGCATCACCTCCCTTGGAAGGCCATTCCAGATTTTGGCAACCCTCACCATAAAGAATCATTTCCTAATGTCTAATCTAAATCTGCTGTCCATCAGTTTATGGCCATTGTCATAGGTAACGCATGCCTTCTGAGGCTGGAGGGGCATGGTGACTGCCTGCAGGTGGCAGCAGCAGGGGCATGGTGGCAGCAAGCAGGGACTGCCCACAGGCAGCCATGGCTATCAGGAGAGGGGGTCCCCTGTGACTGATCGCCAACCAGGGGTCCCCCCACGTTGAGCCTGGAAGTGCCAGAGGTACTTCTCGGAGTGGGGGCCGCCACCAGGACTCAGCCTGCCCATCGGCTAAGCTGGGAGCGCGTGCTCTCAGGGGATGCATGTACACTCCCTATGCGTTGCCTATGGCCACTGTTCCTAGTAACCCTAAGGGGCACCCTGGCAAACAGTGTCCCCTATTCCTTGCTGCTGCCCCCCCCCAATGAACTTGTAGACGGCCACAAGATCCCCTCTCAGCCTTCTTTTGCTGAGGCTGAAAAGATTTAGGTCCCTCAATCTCTCCTTGTAGGATCTTACCTGTAGACCCTTAACCATAAGAGTAGCTCTCCTCTGAACCCTTCCAAGGTTATCCACATCCCTCTTGACATTTGGTGCCCAGAACTGGGTGCAGTACTCCAGCTGCGGTCTTACCAATGCCGCATAGAGGGTCCTTAGACCTGTTCATGATGCACCTTCCAATGCATGAAAGAGCATGGTTGGCTTTGTTTATCTCTTCATTTAGATTTGTTTAGAATGAGAATGATTTGGCATAGGGCAAAGTTTCATTTTTCTTGATTTCCATGTGCTTAGATCCCAATACCACAGCATGCTATATATTCAAACATTTGCGTTTGATAACCAACGAGCAAGCTCATAGCACAAAAAATATATTGAAGTCTATACTGAAGAAAGTCCCAAATGTCCTGGGCTCTGTTTCCGTAGACTGAACATACCATTTATGTTCGTGAATATGAAGAATTCTTAAGCATGTTGTGAAGTATTAGCTTTTAAAACATTTGCTATTTTCTTAAGTTTAGAAATATCCAGAATATTGTTAACAGAAATAAAGAGTTAAACAGGAAGCAGGTATTTTAAGCTACAACTACTTTTATAATAAGCTTTTTTTTTTTTATATTCAAGTTTTTTAAATTTATAAAGCTATTCCTCCCCCATCCATGCTGTGCCATAT